AGCTTTGTGTCAGCGCAGCCCCGGCTCCCCCCGGCCAGGCGGGACCCTCTCCCTCAGAACTCCCCGGCTCTGGTGGCTCCGGGGACAGAGGAGGGACAGCTTTACCCCCGGGAGCCCCCCCAGCCCTGCCGGCAGCCGGCGGTGCCGCGCYGTGGAGGACTGAGCTGATTTTCTGGAGCTCCCTGGCGCTGGGAGTACTCTGGTTTTTGGGTATCAGGATGTCACTCGGGGGTTTTGCCGGCTGCCCCCTCCCCTCTGCCCTGGGGAAGATGCAGGGGCTGGCGCAGAGCTCCCGGGGCAGCGATCTCCTGCTCTCGGGGCTGACTGGGACCAGTTTGCTGCCGCTGCTCRCCTCCAGTTTGAGATCTGCAAAGAGCGAGGCGGAGCCGTCAGCGGCTCKGAAGCCGCTCCGTGGCTCTCCYAGAGCCCTCCCCTGGCTCCCGGCTSCCTCTCGCTGCCCCCTCTCCTATTTTTAAACAGCTCCTTCTTGGAAAGTGGGAAATTCCTCCCTCCTGAGTGCAGCGGATGCTGACAATCCCAAGGGGATCCAGCGTCAGGCCGGAACAATGCTGGGTCCAGCTGCTGCTGGGGAAAGTGTGCAGGTGACAGGCTTTCCTTGGGTTTTTTTTTTACGTTTTGAGGAAAAAGGAAATGCTCAGCTCGTTACCACAGCCCGCCGTCCTGCTGGGCAGATCCGTCCCTGCCCTCCCCGTGCGAGGCAGGGATTATTAAAAAACGAGGTGGAGGAGCAGATAAGCCTTATCTGGGCTGTGAGCCCCGTGCCAAGAGAGCCCCCGGCCGCTGTTCACACCTTCCTATCGCGGCCCGTGCCAGGAAAATGCAGGAAAATGTGTCTAAATCCAGCCCCGTGCCCCGAGCCCTCCCGGGGTGGCACAGGGGTGGCACAGGGGTGGCACAGGGGTGGCACAGGGGTGGCACAGGGGCGGCACAGGGGTGGCACAGGGGTGGCTCTTACCTCGCACACCGTTGGCCAGCCTGAATTCCCCAGCTGGCA